CAAAGTACTGTAGTTTGCAACATAGATGTTTATTATTTCCTTCTTTAGATTGATTCCTAAGTATTCTATTTTTTGATACTATTTTCAAAAGTGTTGTTTCCTAATTTCTCTCTCAGTGAACTATTTATTCTTGTACAGGAAGGCTATTGATTTTTGAGTATTGATTTTGTATCCAGCTATACTACTGAACTTGGTTATTAAATCTAGAAGTGTTTTGGTGGAGTTTGGGGGGGGTCTTCTGAGCAGGGTATAATGTCACCCACAAATAATGATAATTTAACTTTTGCATTTACTCTCCTTATTCCTTTTATTTCTTTATCTTGTCTAAGTCCTCTGGCTAATGTCTCCAAAACTGTATTGAAGAGGAGTGGTGATAGTGGACATCTGTGGTGCATTAACTAATGGTAAACTTGCACCACTCAGATGAACTGAATCAGCTTGTTCCTGGGTGCGGAAGGCCCACCTCAGGATTGTTGCCAACAACCCCAAAGGAGAACTGGAGGGGAAGATGGTGTGCTGTTGACTCTCCTGGAGAAGCTTATCATGCTGCTTTTCCTGATATGAATTCAACTATTCTCATCATCAGAGGAGTTTGGGTCCTTGCTGTTGCTGAGGATATTGCAGTGTTCTTCTGGGGAGCTCTGTTCCTTACTTTCTGTCTCCAGTCCAGATATCTCAACCTGGGGCACAGATCCTTCATTCCACTTTTGTAGGGTTTCTAGCTTCCACTGCTGACCTTTGGGCTTTCCCAGTGCAAATCCTTGATACAGACTTGAATGAGACATTGTCATGAGCTCTAAGCCTCCCATTGGATTCATAGAAGACATTTTCATGGGCTCTAAGTCTTCAGCTGGACTTGTGCAGGACATTGCTTTGGAACCCAGGCCCTCAGCTGCATTCTTTGGGTCTCTAGTGTATGGATAAATCTCTTGAGCTCTTCTGCATTTGACTTTCTAGGTGGCTATTATAAAATAATCCTATAAATTATGTATCCTGTATTAAATCTCTTCCCTTGGAAATCCTGAGTAAAACAATATCCTTATCTTTTTCCTGATTTTAGAGTGAAATCCTTCAGTTTTTGACCATTTAGTATCATATTGCCCATTGGTTTGTCATAGATAGCTTTTGTCAGACTGAGATAGAGACAATCTATTTCAATTTTCTGTAGGGTTTTGAAAATGAACGAGTGTTGGAGGTTTTCAAATATTTTTTCTGCATCTAATGAGATGCTCATGTGGTTTTGTCCTTGGTTCTGGTAATAGGATATATTGCATTTATTGGTTTGCATATGTAGAACCAATTCTGCATCCCTGGGATTAATCCTACTTGGTCATGGCGCATAATCTTCTTGATAATTTGCTGTATTCTATTTGCCAGTATCTAATTGAGGATTTTTGCACCTATGTTCATTATGAAGATTGGTCTGTAGATGTCTTTTTTGGGTGGATCTTATTCTGGTTTTGGTGTCAGGGTAATACTTGATTTCAGGAATGAGTTTGGCAATATTGCTTACCTTCAATTTCATTAAAGAGTTTGAGGACTACCAGCACTAATTCTTCTCTAAATTTCTTATAGAATCTGTCAAAACCTGAGTTTTTCTATTGATAGGTTTTAAATTACATCTTCAATTTCATTGACCAAGATTGGGTTATTTAGAATTTTTATATCCTCTTGGTAATTTATATGTATCTAGGAATCTGTCTGTTTCTTCTGTGATTTCCATCTTATCAGAATACAGGTTCCTGAAGTAGGTGTTGATGATCTTCTGGATTTCTGTAAGATCTATTGTGATTTCACCTTTCTTGTTCCTAATTGTATGGATTTGAGTCTTCCTTCTTTTCTTTTCCTTTCTTTTCTTTTCTTTTCTTTTCTCTTTCTTTCTTTCTTTCTTTCTTTCTTTCTTTCTTTCTTTCTTTCTTTCTTTCTTTCATTTCTGATAAGGTTGGCTAACAGTTTGTCAATTTTATTTAATCTTTCAAAGAACCAACCCTTCAATTCATTGATTACTTGTATTGTGTTCTTAGTCTCCTTTCATTAATTTCTGCTCTGATCTTTATAACGTTCTCTCTTGCATGATCTTTGAGCATGATTTGCTCTTATTTTTCTAGAAGATTGGGATTCAACATTAGGTTGATTATTTGAGCACATTCTGTTTTTCTGATATGGGAACTTCCTGCTATGAATTTCTCTCATAGGACTCATTTCATTGCATCTCATAAGTTCCAGTATGTTGTATTGGAATTAGCATTTAATTGTAGAAACTGTCTAACTTGTTCTTTAATGTCATCTGTGACCCTTTGGTAGTTCAAGAGCGTGTTATTTATTTTACGTTTGTTTATGCAGGATTGTGGTTTCCTTTGCCATCAATTTTCAATTTCATTGCACTATATTCTGATAATGTGCATGGGATAATTTCAATTCCTTTGAATTTATTTAAGCATATTCTGTGACCTAGTATGTGGTCTATTCTGTATAATGTTCTGTGTGCAGCTGAGAATGTGAACCCTGAAGTGGAGTGGAACACTCTGTAGATATCTACCAAGTCCCTTTGTTTAAAAGTTTGGTTCAATTCTGGTATTTCTTTGTTGATTTTTTTGTCTAGTTGATTTATCTGTTTGTGACAGTTGAGGATTAAGGTCCTCCTTACAATTGTACTAGTGCTTCTTTGGTGTTTCATATCCATTATTATTTGTTTTATATAGTTGGATGTGCTGGTATTTGGTACATATATTTTTGTTATCTCTTCCCCGTGACTGTTTCCTTAGCAATATGTATTGACCTCGCTTGTCTCTCTTGATCAGTCTTGGTTTGAAATCCACTTTGTCTGCAAATTGAATATCTTCCCATACTTTTTTCCAGGTTCCTGTCACATGAAGTATTGTTCTCTATCCTTCTACTTTCAGTCTGCAAATTTCTTTTTTATCTCAATCTGTTCCTGTATGTGGCTTATTTTTGGATCTTGTTTCTTGATCCATTCTGTCTATTTCTTTTGATTGGTGAATTAAGATGATTTACATTGGTGGCTATAATTGGCATGTATTGATTTATCTTTGTCATGTTATTTTTCTGGTTTTGCTTCCCTTTCTTCCCTTTCTTTATTTAATTGCTTATTTTGCCAGGTCGATTCATTCTATTGGGGTTCTTGGAATTACAGTCTTTGTTATCTCTTTCTAGAATATCCTTAAGAATGTTTTAGAGTGCTGATTTTGGTGGTCATGAATTCTTTGCCATGGGAGTATCCTATTTTTCTGTTAATTTTGAAAGATAGTTTAGCAGAGTACATCAATCTGATTTGGAGCTTGTTTTCTTCTAGGGCTTGAAATATTTCACTCCAAGCTCTCCCTGACTTAGGATTGCATTGAGAAGTTGTGATTTTTTGAACTTTCTTTTATAGGTGATTTGTTTCTTTTCTTTAACAGCTTTTAATATTTGTTCTCATTTTGAATTTTTAGAATCTTTTTTCTCATCAAGAGTAGCTATTATTCTTATGAACAGCTTTACAAAAATAGTAGCACTCAAATTGCTTAGCACATACAGCTAATTTTAAATAGCACACTTTTCCATATTTTAAGTGACTCATGTTTCACGTAGAGTAATACTCCTTTAAGAACATAGGGTATCTGGAAAATTAATGAACCAGAGGAACTTTTCACATATTGGAAGTTTGACTGTTATAGGCCTTCCTATGGATTTCTTGTTTTGATCATGGCTAATTAGAGTTCTATTCACTTAACTGTATGTCAAATTCTTTTTCCATGGTTGGGAAGTTTTCTTCTATTACTTTTGTGAATATTTTTTATTTAAATTGCTATATCTCCTCCCTTTTTATTGACTCTGACTGATCTTACAGTCTTCTTCTTTACATCATCTAGAAGTTATTGGATTGATTTTTTGTGGTCTCTTTCTATTTTTAAGAAATATTTCTCTTCATAATTCCAAACCACAAACACGTCTTCTAGATTTCTATATTGCCCAAGAGGTGCATGGCACTCTCTAGGCCAAACTGTCATTCTTAATAGAAGCTTCACAGAGGTACACTCTACAAATCTATAAGGCAGATAGGCAGACACTCCAGTGAGTGCCTCCAGGCAGCATTATTTCTCATGAAATTATACCCAAATACCTTAAGTTCTAGCTGATCCTGTGTGTTTCCCATGTTTACCCGTCATCCTGACACTCAGAGTCTGAGATACAGCCAACCCACTGCTGCTCTGAATGTCTAGTTCAGTTGGCTCTCTTCCAAAGTGGCAACCAGCCAATCTCCCTTCCCTGGGAATGTTTGCATTGGATTGCAATCAATTACCTGCCACTGTAGCCCACAGAATCCACTGCTCTGTTCTACTGGTCTGTTTCTCCAAGGAGGCCTATTGAGTCACCAGCAGTCACCATGCTTCTGTAGGTAAAAGCTGCTTATCTGTTGCCACAAGCTGGGATCCAGGAAGAAAGCACTGTTTGCCACCTCCCTCTTATGCATTAAGCTCTCTCTTTTCATTCGCTCTTGTGGGCTCCAATTCTCACTTCATAGCTTTGCCACCTCCCTCATTCTTCTCTTATCTATGTTGCCATATTCCAGTATCTAGACTGCTAATCTCAAAAGCTGATTTGCTGTTTTCAACATTCTGCCATCTTCCCTGAAGTCCCACAAGGAAGGTATTTTAACAGGTTTTCAAAAACCACTTTGAGTGTTCATGGAGGTTTCAGTTCATAATTGAGTGGCCTTAAGTCATGGTGGTATGGCAGAGGAGTATCACAGAGAAAAAGCAGTCCATAGCAAATCAGGGTAGGCAGAAGGTAGCAAACAGCTAGAAAGAGAACTCAACTTTTCTAACATTAAAAAAAGGCCTGGGTTTCCATCTCATCTTGTCCCAAGAGTTTTGGCAGAAGGACTGGAATCTGAGTCATTAATGTGAACTTTACCTCAAAGTCACATATCTATCTCTCTCCAAAGACTGGTCTTTTAACCATTTTGTAATATGCTGGAAATGATATTACTTTGATAGCTGGCACCAGAATTCATCTTAAGAAAATATCTACAAGGCTGACTTGTCAACTGGATCTGCCCTAAAGAAGAAAAAAATGATTGTTTGGTTCCTCAGTGAAGAGGATAGAAAAAGGAAAGAAACAGTAACCAAATAGCCATGAATTTAGCTACTGCTTGAGAGCAGATAAACAGGAAGATTCACAGGTAAGTGTAGTTATAAGGACTGTAAGTGTTTTAAAGCATTTTGCTGTTTGGTATGTGATGCAATCCCCTCCCCCATTCCTTTACAAAAGTATTAAATATAGTACACCCACAAGTGATTGGAATGAACAGATTTCCCTCATTTTATCAGGTACTTTGGGTTGAACAGTATACTTCACTGTAGAGATAAAATAAAACATCATAATGTCCAGGAGTTTAGTCTTCTAGAGGAGACAAATAAGAAAAATTAAAGTTGTGAAATTAATGTTCTATAATAGAGATACATATAAGTGCAGTTTTCCAAGATGATGGAGGAGCTCTTTTTGTCTGCCTGGGTACCATTTTTCCCGTTGTGTATCCATGGTGCAGGCAAAGCAGGGAGGGCCATGTTAATCTCATGCTGAAATATTCCTCCTCCTCCTGCTCTCCTTCTCCTTCCAATGCTCCTTCTTCTCCTTCTCTGCCTTCTTATCTACTTCTACTCCCTCTCTCCCTTTTCTGCCTCTTTCTCCTCATTCTTCTCCTCCCCCTGCTCCTCCTTTTCCCTCTCCTTCTCTTGCTTTTTGTACTGGAGATTGAACCCAGGACCTTCACCCTGAGCCAAATCTCACCCTCTTTTATATAGATATATTTTTGAGTTGTAAATTACCTAGGCCATACCCAAACTTGTAATCCTCCTGTCTGAGCCTCCCAAACCCTGGGATTACAGGCATGTGCCACAGTACCTGCCTGAAAGGGGTTTCTTTAATAGCAGTTAATTAGAAATAAACTAGTAGGCTTCCCAGTGATGAGAAATTGACCTATTAAATTCCACAGTTTTTTGCCCTTTCTCAGCAGTCCTTTGTTCAGAAATATGATGATCTCAAACCTTTCCTTTCTTACACCAGTGGCTATCACCTAACTTTTATATGTTGACTAAACAAAGGCTCTATGGAGAGTTTATCACATAACAACATCACTCTGGTGAGATAGTAATGTCACTCTGTCTTTCTACCCAGTTACTGATTAAAGCCATGTAGAAAAGAATATTTAGAATAAGCCTGATGGCTGTCTTCAAAAATCTATGAAGTATTTTGTGAAGTACTTGAAGTATTTTGTTTCCTATTTGTTTATTGTGGTACACACTAAGGATTGAATCTAGGGAACTTGGGCCACAGTCCCAGCCCTTTTTATTTTTCATTTGATGCAGGGTCTTATAAATATTCCAGGCTGAACTTGTAGTTGCTGTCCTCCTACCTTAGCCTCCTAAATAGCAAGGATTACAGGCAAATGTCACCACACCTGGTTCTTTTCCCATCTTAACCCCTCCCTTTTTAACACTGTCCACTTTGAGCAAAACACCCTATTTTCTGCTTCTCTTAGAGTCTAACTCCTTGAAATTGATGTCCTCACTGTCTTCATTCCCTCACAGTTTTTAACATTCTAGTTCACTTTCAATGAAATTTATATATTCTTTCTGCTAACATCTATTGAGTCTAGGTACAATAAGCATTTCTTAAATGAAAGGTAGATAGGTTATACAGTTTCTAAGAGCTCCAGAAGTGATTAAATTGAGACACTTCTTTACAATTTCTTTTTCTTTTCTTTTTTTTGGCTTTTTTCTGGTACCGGGAATCAAACTCACGACTTTGTGCTTGCCAGGCAGGCGCTGTGCCGCTGAGCTAAATCCCCAGCCCCACTTCTTTACAATTTCTAAGAACTACAGAAGTGATTAAACTGAGGCAATTCTTTAGTTCATCCCAAGTAAATTCATATGCTGTATGCCAGCATAAGGCCAGAACTGAGAACTGAAATTTAGTGACATCTCACAAGAGAAAAAGACATAAGTATAATCCAGGTGATAAATAAAAGTAGGGCTTTGAGCTGGGAGATAATTAATGAGATTTAGTGCTCTATAATAGAGATACGTATCAGTGCAGTTTGCAAAGATGAGGCTTTGAATGAAGCAGGGAGTGTAGGTCCTCCAGGTGGCTGCTGTGGTAAAACTGCCTTGGGATATTTTCCTAAGTTGCCCCTTTTACAAAACACAAAGACAAAATGAAAACATTTTGAGTAAGAAAAGATTGAAACAATGTAAAAGGAAAAGTAGTTGATACATAGATTTTCTCACAGAGGATTTAGACATTTCCAGGATGATGTGATGCTAATGTGACCAGTCAGGAATAATGAGGAACACGTAAGTTGAGTTCCCTCACTGATTCTTTCAGAGTAGTGTACTACTCTTCACTGCCTTCAGCATTTTTTGCTATCAAAAAGAAAACAAATGAAAGGCAAAAGCATTTCAACTCCAGTCGGATTCTTAGTGGTATCAGTTAAAGACTCTGCCCCAATGTAGTCTGGTGGGAAAGTCAGGCCTCTGCAAAGTCAAGAAATATTAGTCACTAGTCAAGAAAAGTTATCATGAAGTGACAGCTGCCATCTGTTATGCATAATGATAAACACAGGTAGGACATTTATGGGGGGACAGTGGGCAACAGAAGGGGTAATTAGGTGTTGTAGAGAGTAAGAAATCACATGAAATAAAAAGTCCATTATGCCATCTTAGCAAGGAAAGAAAAGAAAATAGGTCCAGAAATGAACCCAAAAATAGTATGGCCAGGTAGTCTCCAACACATTTCACTGCAATGGGAGAAAAATATTTTCAGTCACCTAAAGTGAGTTACTATCCCTAAGTCCATGCCAAAAACATAATCATAATACCTATTTATATTATCCACAAAATTAATCAAAATGGATTGTAGCTATTCTAGAATTTTATACACTGTCTTCATGATCTTGGAAACAGGCAAAGTTTTCATGAACAGGATACGTAAAGCACTAACAATGAAAGAAAAATTGTTAAACTAGACCCAATTAATATTAACAACTTTTGTTCTTCAGAAGTTATTATGAAAAGGATGAGAAGATACTATATAAGCATAAAAATATAGAAGAAACCATACAAGTATACTAGTGTACTGATACAAGTGGCAATAGAAGTTACTCATAATATCTATATCTAAAGGGATTAAAATTCACAAAATAAAGAGAACTTTAGAAACATCAGGCAGGTTGTCAATGACAGTGTTAAGATTCCTGCCTTCTGAAGTCTGAGCCAGTGTTCCAATTATGTCATCCAATTCAGTTTTGTATAAGTTTAATTGAATCTTTATCACTAGGAATAAGAAAACTCTTTGTCTCCTTTTTCATACTTAGGAAATAAGAAAATTAATGGTATAGGGATTAAAATAATGGAAATAAAATACCACAGTAACTGATACATATATCTCTCTAAAAAACTCAACAGTGTTGATTATGATTATAGTAATTATGATGATATAGTAATATAGTAGTTATAAGGGGATAGCCTTACTAACTGCCATGACAGACAAGAAAGGGGAAAAATCATCATTAAAGGAACCAGTATCAGATATATCTTAGTCAAGCTTCAAAGGATGGGCACAATCGAACCACTGGGCCTTGTTGACAAGTAAGCTATGGAGGGAAATAAGGGGTGATTTCAGAAAAACCAAGGCATTCCCTGAATAATAAAACACCAAAGAGTTAAGATGTAGCTATGTCAGAAGTCTTCAAATATCAAGCCAAATACTGCAGGTTCTGTACATCTAGTTTCTGTTATTTTTCTTGTCATTAGGCAAACTGTGGCTACAGGATGTGAAAATCAACAGATGCCCACCCAACTTCCCTATTCCAGTAAGTTTTATCAGTACCCATGTAGACAGGTCTATGAAGTTTTGTCATCATTCTTTACTCAAGTGAATAATTAGTCCTTGAATAAGGAAAGAGTAGGTCACAATATATTTATCTGAGTCCTTAAAATAGACATAATATATACATAGATATGTACATAAAGAGAAAGGAGAAGAGATTTACACAATGCTAGGCAGTATAAACTCACTAATATGTTTAATAGTTTAGTGCAGTAGCAAGACTACTTTAGTGAGAACCTATCCTGTCCTCCAGGCTATTGGGCTAATAACCCATAGTTACTGCAGGCTGATCAGACCCACAATCTTCCATATGAGTAGACAGTGGAGGCTTAAATGAGACAATTGAAATGATTTTAGGGCTCCAGGAAGGTTCAACCCTCTCACAGAATCCAAGATTCTCTAGGTTTAGACCAAGAACTTCTCTGGGCAGCCTGTATTTATTTGGTTTTTCAAACAAAAGAGAGGGATACTGAAGAAAATGCAGGAATCTGGTCAGGACTTGGGAATCCCTCTAACAACTTCTCCAGGTAATACATTATGTTAATTTAGGAGAACTATGTTTTCTTCAGGAAAGCTTTCACCTCAGGAGTGAGATGTCTGCAACTACAGTCTCATTTTAGTTTACTGAGTTTGGGGCCAAATAATTCCTCAGCTGTGGCCTTATCCTGTCCTTTGCAGTGTTCCAACTTCACAGGCCAATACAGGCCTCAACGGGGATCAGTGACTCATAGAGGTTCACTTACTAGAAGTCTGCTGCCCATCTCCAGACAAGGTCTAAGCCTTGGGAAAACTCACATGCAAACACCAAAAGTCAATTGGTTAATATTAAGTCCTGCTCAGAGCTGTTTCATAGTGATAGTGGTCTCCATCACCAGCCAAACAATATTTATTCTATCAAACACTGATCAGATGAATCCTAAATGTATTACCCATTGTTAAAATGCATGGAAAGTGGGTTATATTATTACTAGCTAGTAAGTAAAATTCTAAGTGAAGTGGGGAATAATATGTTTGCATAATATTTGTTTATAATTCATGCATTTATTCTCACACCAAATAAATACAAAATTATGTGCATTTTTGTAGTTAAGGAAATTGCTACCTGAAAGTACCATTTCTCCTCACAACATTAGGGTTAATTTATACATAACACTACAGCTTGCCATTGTAGTGATTTTAAAAACAAGGTTGTTTGGCACCTATAGTTATTGTAATGAAATGTACTGAGGCATCACTCATATTAAGAATGCATTATATTTCCTAACAATTGTTTTTGTCTGGTCACATATACACCTGTACTATGAGGCCATAACAGAAAGTTTGTTTTTTACTTTAAGTTTATAGTCAAATGTTTAAAACCACTGTTTGGTAAAATGAGCTGAGGGTTTGGCATCAAACTGGCCTGAATCTAAGTGTTGTTCCTGCTGCTACTATTATCCATCAATTTTCTGCAGCAAGATTCCAGTCAACTTTCTCTCTCATGCTGTTTATGAGACCAAAGAAAATAATCTTTTTCTAAAATACAAACTCTCCTTAATGGTGGCAATGGTAACTTTTTTTACTGGCAAGAAAATTCCTGTGTAAATAATGGTTTGAGATGAAAAAAAAAAACTTGACTGATTTAACCAATATTTGTCATTACTTAGACTAAACTCCATAATTTCCCCAACACTGGGGAGAGTGATCTGTGATAGTAGGTACTCAACAAATATTTGGGTTATAACAATAACTGAGTGAATGAAAAGCTGAATGAACCAATAAATGATTACTCTGTGGGAGGTACCAAGAGCATGGAGATGAATAAGGCATAAGCTTTGCTCTTTAAGAAAATTAGTATATATTTTATTACTTAATTTATGTTATTGCAAATATTTATCTAGTATCCAGTATTTTTCAGGTACTTTGGTAAGTTCTGCAGTAAACAAAACAATCATATTTGTTCCTTAAAGGTGGAGAGCAATTACACAAGAGTCGTGTAAATATCTGTAGAGCTGAAATTCTGTTAAGGGCCATGAAGTGCCAGGGTCATGAAATCATACAATAATAGGGCGAATTTTAACAAAGAAAGAAGTAAAGGAAGACTCCACAAATAAAGAACAAACAGTTGTGTGAGAAAACACCACTTAAGTCTTAAAGGTAAAAAGGCCTTCTATTTTCAGACCTAGTAAGGCAGAACAAAGAAATGTCCAGTGCATCTTGGTAGATTGAGCAGGGAGGAAGTTGGTAGGAGATAAAACATGATATAGAAAGGAGTCAAGTCATGCAGAACCCAAATTAAATCCTTCCTAGGGATTTTGAGCCATGAAAACCTGGAGAGTGATATGGTCATATTTGCATTTCATAAAGATCACTTGAGTGTTCTAAGGACAGAGATTTAAGGAAAAAACAAAAGGTGTTGGGAAAACATTTAAGTAAATGGGGGAAAGTCAAAGGAAATGGTGGAAATGCTAATGCAGCCATCACGTTAGTCAGAAATCCAAAAGAGAACTTGATGATAACAAATGAAGTGTAGAAGATGGCGCCTTGTAGGGAGAAAGGGAAGCATCAGGTGAGCCCTTAGAATTGTCTTCAACAATCAGCTAGAGAGAGAAGAGTCACTGCAGAAAATGCAGATAAAAGTATTGGTGGTGGTGAATGATCAAAATAGTGCTATGGAACGCTTTAGATCTGAGGTGCCTCTACAATGTCTAAATGAAGGTATCAAGAAAGCACTTAACCTCCACCCCCAAGTTTCTCCCGTAGTTAAAAAGTCCTCATGTGGCCCTGAAAAGCCCTTCATAAACCAAGCCCTTATTCTTTTTGTCTCATTTCCTATTTTTCTCTCTGATACTTTGCTACAGCCAAAATAGCATCCTGTGTGTTTCTTGACTCTCAGGCTTTCTGCCTCAGCACCTTCGCATTTGCCATTCTCTTGGGAAGGCTCATATTAAGGTATTCCCCATGACTGCGCTCCTCACTTCCTTCTGTCTGAATGTCACTTAATCAATAACTTCTCTGATTTCTCCATCATAAACTCCTCCCAAGTCTGCCCTTTTCTCTCCTTTGTTCCATAATATTTTTCATAAGCTGACATTTTAAAAATCATTTGTCATTTTTGTTGTCTCCCTTAACTAAAATGCATAAAACCCACGAACCAACGGGCTTTGTCATTTTTACTCACTAGAAAGAGCACATTCCTTGGCAGATGCCAAAGCCTGGTTCAGATCTGAGTTTTTAGCCCTACAGAGGAGCAACCAGGTCAGCCTGCCACATATTAATGGATGCTGGCTGAAGACACACACTCCCAGATGGAGACAAGGAATTTAGTCATTCCATAGCACTTGCCAGTGTCAACATTTATTCTGTTTTCTCCAGTTCCAGCTTTCACAAAACAGCATGAAGAAGGCTAAGTGGTAGTTGCACAGAAAATACATTGTGTTACGAGAAGAGGTCAAAGTTTACAAAATTTCCAGGTCTTTTTCAAAGGGCAATAAACCCACATGAGTTTTGTCCCGAAAAAGTCATTTTTGTTATGCTAAACATTAAAGAAAAACCTCCCCTTTACACCAGACAAAACTTTATTTTCCAACTCCATTAGTTACCTGAACACCTGAGAAAAGGTCATCGGAAACAAAGGTTTCGGATACCTCTATTCACCAGGTTTGCGGAAGGGCAAGACAGAATGGAGAATGTTTTTGGGGCTGGGGATATAGCTCAGTGGCACAAGCACCTGCCTGGCAAGCACAAGGTCCTGAATTCAATTCCTGGTACCAAAAAAAAACCAAAAAAAAAAAAAAAAAAAAGAATGGAGAATATTTCCTATCAGCTCATACCAGAGACTCTATACATAGCCCTGAATAAAGTATTAAATCTTTTTTGTTGTTTTTTTGGTTTTGTTTTACAAAAGTATGTTTTTAATTTTTATTTCATATTAGTACATATTTACAGTGCATAATGTTTGCGTTCCATGTAGCAAGTTTATGCATGTACACAGCACATTTTAATTCTCCTTTTCATCTGCATTTCCTCCTCTGCTTCTCTTCTCCTTCCACACCTTGATCTTCTTCCCTTTTGTAATGGATCTATCTCTCTTTTTCCTATTAGCTATTTTTTATTTTGCTCTTTATATTTTGGGTTTTCCATATAAGATAAACCATGCAATAGTTAAAACTGTGTGTCTGATTTATTTCACTTAATATGATCTCAAAGCACATTCATTTTCCTATGAGTGGCTCAAGCTTCTCCTTCTTTATGGAGAAGTAGTGCCCTTTGGGCCCTGGCTTGCCCTTGCTGGAACCACGTTCCTGGACATCTGATGTAATCAGGCACATCCACAGCTGCGGAGTACTTGGGATCTTTGAGTTCATCTTGCAGATAAGAATATGGGCTCAAGAAGGGAAAGACTTTCCTATAATCAAAGACAAGGTTAGAGATCCAGCTAACTAGCTAACCGCCAGGCTTTTCCTGATAGGATTTGAGGCCCAGCCTCCCCTTTCACCTTTGTTGCTCAGGCGGCACTCTCCAAGCCTGGAGGCCAGGCCAACACACAGAGTCAATCAATAACCAAGGGCAGCTGTGACACAGCACAGCATGTGGAGCCTCTGCTGCCCTCTGTCCACATGACCCTCCAGTCCCGGGGTTCACAAGAGAAGTGGTACATTCGGAACAGCTTTCAACTGACTTCTGGCCACAAAACTTTAGCCATGAAGATAACAAGCATCTTTCTTCTTAGTGTCTTGGCCTTGCTCAGTTTATCTGGTAAGTGTCTTTACATATTTTTCAAATTTGAGCAAAATTTTTTGACCTATTGGTTTGTGAAACACACTATCTTCCAGAAATTTAGCATAGCCTAGTATTAGCTGAGACTAGCTAGTTTTTATGTGTCCTTTGCTCCCAATGAGGTGAAGTAAAATCAATAGACGAAAGTTATGGAATGAAGAAGCCTTGACATAAGTCGAGGGAAACAATACTTGTAAGAAGTTTCTGCAGGTAGAAAGGTTTTCTATCAGGATGATCCTTTGTCAAGGATATGGTAGAAAAAAGAAAGTAGGGGTAGATCAACCTTAAGAACCATTCTAGTGCTTGCTTCCACAGCACCTATGCCAAAAATTAAATACCATTCTAATGTAAATGCTTCCAGCCTATTTACAAATTTTAAATTATCATAGGTTTGCATAACAGAAACAATGAAGGCAAAGCAACAACTAGTGATATGCAGTAGAAGAGGAATAGTTTGACTGATTAAAATGTTTTTATTTTTGATCTCCAAACTGTTTCAAGGGATATTTTCCTTCTACTTGAATAGGCGGTATGCCTAAGTCCCTAAACTGCATCTGAGAAATGTTGGGAGACAATTCTGAACCTACAGGATTTAGACTAATTTTCTTTTAATCACTGAAAATGATTAACACTTTTAACCTGGTCTTCAAAGTTGCAGAAGTTATTGAAAGCCAAATCAGCACTTTGCTGAGAAGAATATCATTTGTTGTATTTGCTAAATATTTATGGAAACAAAAGTCCCTTTCCCCCTCCTCATGAATATTAATTAACACAAACAGATGCTTGTAGTGAGAACCTGCTCATCAATTTTTAGAGTCATTTAGTTTCTGAAACCCCGTGGGACCCTACAACAACAGCAGGTTCTGACTATTCCAGGCAATCTCCATGCCCTCAGAGACTGCTGGTATCAAAATTAAATCTCACCAATGTTTCCTCCTATGGGTGCTATCAGATCAATTTCCTTTCCCTTCAGTGAACTCATGCATTCACCATCCCCCTACAATGGCAGCAAAATAGACAGCTGTGTCTATTTTGATGATTTGTAAATTTAAGAACTGTGGCTGAATCTATGGTCACTTAGTGTCTTACAACTGTGGGAAAAAGCTCTTTGAAAACAGATGGTGAGTTGGCAAAATCCTCCACTAAAAACATGACTCACAAAAGGGGACTTACATGCAATTGCATCAGAAAACTTAGTTGCTGCTAGTGATCACTGTTTCACAGACAGTTGTATAAACACTCCATCCTTTCATCTTTAAATTGAGATCAAGATAATTTTACTCCACTAAGGATGAGATCAAAGATCTAGGGGCTGGCTGTGAGAGGGTTAGCAAGCTTTTAGAAGACGCTTGCTCAGTGCCCGATAGATTTCGTGCAGTAAGTAATAATTTCAATTTTCAACGAAATGAATCAATTTCTCTGATATACCCAATGAAGGTACTTTGGTTATCATCAAACTTTTACTTAATTTTTAAAAAGATTTTAGCAGGAAGAGAGGGAACAGGAATCACTCAGATGCCATGGAAATGGGACAGAAATAAGAAGAGCTAAGCAGTGGGGGAACCACCAAAGAACTCATACCCTTCTATGGAATCAGAGAGATTCTGAATAAGGGTAGCTCTGTCCTCTCCCACTTAGGATCCAACCTAATGCATCTGATTTATGTTTTCTAGGCAATACTACAGCTTCCCTTGGAAGAAAGGTAAAGAGAATTGTATGATTTCTTATTTCTCAGGTTGAAATTGTTTGATCTGACAAAAGTGTAGTTCAACACTCACCTTTCAGCTTACTCTGAAGTCAGGATGAGTAGTCTGAAAACTAGTGAGGCTTTAGCTGCTAAATGCAGATAGTCATAGCAATTTCCCCGGCCCTCATAGTCCTGTGTTAAAGGGCAAATCCACTGGTACATGGGCGAGTTATGCATAATTGCCTAGTTCTTGGGATGAAAGAGAGTTAGTTGTGAGGATGTCAGGTGTGAGGCTGTTAGCGAGTTTATGTATGCTAGCACTGGCTGGTAGGAGGAGTATTGTGGGTGAAAGCTTTCTCAGGTCCATGTCCTCCTTGTACCCAATCTCATCACACTGTCATAAATCCCCCAGTCACTGATATGTGTCTCTCACAATTATCAGCACAAAAGAGTAAACTAACTTTACTCTTTAGAAAAATATTCTAAATCTAACTTTTCAAAAGTTAATGTTAGTAAATTTGGGGATCAGAAAAAAAAAGTGTCTCTCTGTTCCTTACTTTTCTATCAACGGAGAGTGAGTTCACAAACCAAAGATTCATAAAAAATAATTTTTTACTCTTGTTAAAAGTTTTATGAAGATCTAGTACCACTAGAAACTTAATATCGCTTGAGAGGTGAGGGAAGGTGCTCCCAAGTGAGCAAGAGTTAGGTTGAACCATGAAGGGTAAGTGAAGCAAAGCCTAGCTGGCAGGAAGATCGTACCAGTCATTGATGACCACTAGCTATTACTGGAGTAGAGGATACAGAACAGAAAGATTCCAAGAATGGAAAACACCAAATGCCTCTGCATGCTTGAGGGAAGAACAGTGTGACTGGACCACAGTGTGCAAGGAAGAGCGTGCCCCAGGTAGCAGCCAACCTGAGCATGAACACCAGCACCTGCAGCAATGTGAACATGAACAGCAGTCCATTTATCTTTTTTCTCTGGGAGGGCACTTTATTGTGTGTATGTGTGTGTTTGACACAGGGTCTCACTATGCAGTTCAGCCTGGCCTTGAGCTCATTTTGTAGCCCAGGTTGGTCTCAAACTCACAACGATCCTCCTGCCTCAGCCTCCCAGGTGTCAGGATTGCAGGCATGTGCCACCAGGCCTGGCCCACCAGTCTGTTTATCTTATGCATCTTTCACAATACCACTACAGCATGGACACAAGAATGACAACCCCATTCCCATTTTGCAGACAAAGTGGCTTACCTGTGTCAAACAATTTGTAAATAGCAGCATTACTGAAATTCAGATATTTTCTCTTAGATCACTCTATGTCTTTCTCTCAGTGTCCTTTTTCAGACGTATTAAAACCATTTTAGAGATTTTGCTATAAACTCAAAGAATAGGGAATGATGGAAATTTGTTAATTTCATTCCACTTTTAGGCGAACTGCAATCCTACAGCGGTTGGATGTCCCAAGATTTATGACCCTGTCTGTGGGACTGATGGCATCAGCTACAGCAACGAGTGCCTACTGTGTGCTGAAAACCTGTAAGTGCAAACTTAATCTGTAAACACAGTTTCGATGTATCGTCATCACACATTCACATTTTATCTCTCCAAAGCCCCAGCCTGTCCACCAATAGTGTGAATCTTACAATGAGAGAAACGAAGCATCTACTTTTTCAAAAAACAACTTCCTTTTTTCTCCTTTTCATATACATTATATGAAAATATGACTTAAAATCACTTACATGATAAAAAAAACACAAAATTTTAAAGTAGTTTGGATTTTTAAAAAGCCTATATTCACAAAATGTCACTAATTTTAAAACATAATTCTTCATGATAGCAGTGATTCTTTTCAGTATTGGGGATTGAACCCTGGGATTTGCACTGAGCTACATCAGCAGCTCAGCTGGTTTGTTTTGTTTTGTTTTGCTTTGCTTTTGTTTTGTTTCATTTTGTTTTGTTTTGTGAAAAATCCTCACTAAGTCATCAAATTCCAAGGGCTATGTGCAAAGTTGTGATACTCTTTCCTCAGCTTCCCAGGGTGTTGGGATTACAAGTGTATGCCACCAAGCCTGGTTAGTGATTTTGTCTTCTAAAGCCCCCTAGTATGCAAATATAAATTTTATAGATTTGCATGACAGAAATGTACTTTTGCAACGTTGAATTTCTGTTTTCTGAAGTGGCCCTAAGCAAATGAAGGGAATTAATCTCCAGGCACCCAGAGAAACAAACATGCTACAGATTTTCTATTTTACCCAACACATCTGCTTACCATATGTGGAGCTTTATGTTAGCTGCCCCTGCTTCCTTTCTGCTTATGACTAAGAGAACATAGGTTACAAGCACATATAAGAGAACTACTTGTTGCAAATGCCGGCAAACAAGGGGTAAGTATTTCAGGAGCAGAGAGAGATGGAAAGGAGTCAAGAGGTCAAGAAAAGTTTCATGTAAAGAACACCTTATAAACAAGGCTCTAAATTTCGGTAGCATCTAAAAAGAGCATTCCAGGTTAAATAAGAGTGTGCAACTATCAAAACAAATCAAATATATTCCACAAGTGACCTAGAAAACAGTTGTCCTGGGTCTGACTTGATCTGAAAATTTTGACTTATGTTCAAATGGCTTTGTAAGTTCCATTATTGCACACCAGAAATTCCCTTCCTTAAACACAAATCTTATTCTCAGACTGTTTGAAACCACCTCAGAAAATACTCAGGGTTTTGCAATGATTGTAGAATTTGGTCTCTAGGGTAAAAGACTTACAGTTTGAAGGTTTGAGCCCTAGACATTATGTATTCTGCTTTGTGGTGGATCTGTTTTGACAATAAGAATTTTTAAAACGCTTTTAAAATCACTTGTTTATTTTCTCATGACCTATGTTGTTGACATTAAGATCAAACATCATATTTCTATCCAAGTGGAGGAAAAAGCATTAAACAAGCTTTGAGACTTGGAAAGTTTCCAGGTGCCTGCCTCAAAAGGCCCAACGTGAGTACAGTCTAACAGAGGGCTAGGACACCTGTTCCTTTGGCCTTTGAAACCTATCAGTTCCAGCTTTGTCTCTCTATTCTTTCAAACACATATAAATTTGAGAGGAACATTTGGCTGCCAGCAAATGCAATACCTGTACCTGAATTTCTCAGATAAGAAAACTTAGGTCTGGAAACAAGTATGATGGTCTTATGCACAACGTGTTTCTTAATGTACTGTAGCGCTTTCATTTCTATCACTCGTTAAAAGTTCCAAAAAATCCTTGGCATAGTAACTACAACCAGGCTCTGACCCTAGTTGTCAGGTTTGGAGAGAACCAGATAATATCAAACACTTGCTGGCAAACAGTAGTCTCTTCGTCATTATGTTCCTGGCAGCTATTATCAACGAGAACTTCTGTTTCTTATACATCTTCTGAGGGTGTCTATATTGGCAAATTCTATTCTACACATGAGCAATGTCTAACAACTTTCTGTAATGATAGGGGGGCTTTATAGCTCTGCTATCCAATACTTAGGCACAACCCGCAATCCACTATCCATTAACACTTAAACATGGCTGAACTAACTGGAAAACTGTTTTTATAATTTCACTTAACTTTTAATTTAATAAGTAGCACAATATGGGTATTGAACATACTGGGCTACAGTAAACTGCATTGCTATGAAAAATAAGTCAAACTCATATGGTCAGCTTAGGTGTTTATGCTTACTGTATGACTGATTTGGAAATTGATAGCATGAGTATTTAATGATTATGGGGCAAAAAAATCAAGCTCACTGAAAATGAACCAGTGAATGGGCCAGGGTTATAGCTCAGCAGTAAGTACAAGAGCCTGCCTGGCAAGCACAAGGCCCTGAGTTTGATTCCTGACACAAGAAAAAAAAAAAAGAATCAATGAGGTTCATAAAATATATGAACATCAGATATTCTCCAGTAACAAAGAAATAGACAGAGTTATGTAAACTAGTATTTTCAAGGAAAGGATTGCTAGAAAAGATGAAAGATCTGCAGTCTTATTAAGAACATTTTCAGTATTTAGGGATATTTAGCTTAGAAAACTTGATAAAAGTGGAAGGAGGAGAGCAGAGAGGATTTCGTTTCCTGGACAGGATTCTTAAAATGAGTGGTAACATGGGGTGGACATAAGATTTCCTTTTGCAAGACTAACAAGATCCACAGTTTTCTAGGTTGAAATGGCAATCAATTAGAAGGCTCAGCAACAGCCCCAAAATCACTAAGATAGAAACCTGTTAGCTAGAGGTATAGCATCAGGAATAAATGAAGCAACAAAGGACTTCAGATTAATTCTAGGAGTTCACTGTGACACATCCTATTAGATCTATAAAGTCAGTAAGAAGATATTTTCCCCTTTCTGTTGTATCCCTAGTAAATGTAATAGTGATAAACTGATATGTGATGAATAAGTAAGTGAATGGACAAATAAACGGAAGACAGAAAAGTGAGAATGAATCTTAAACCTCTCTAATTTTATTTATTTATTATATTAAAGAGAATAACAAAATAACAGCAAGATAGGCAAAAACAACACAAAACCAGTAAAAATGACACAGGCTTTCAAAACAAAATGATAGGAATTAACAGTGGTTGTTATATTACATATTGTTATCTTCAACAAAGTTGCTCAGATTACCAGATGTAAGAATGCAAGATTGATCAAACCATTAAAGAGAATTTTAAAAATGAAAGATGATCCAGAGTTTTGCTAGGCAAGATAGTAGGAATTTACCAAAGGTTGTTATATCACGTATTGTTGTCTTCAAATCTGTTGCTCAGATTACCAGATATAAGCACACAAAACTGGTCAAAATAAAAAAAAAATTAAGCATTAACTGCTCCATTCAATAAACCACCAGACATAAGCAGTACAGTTATCCCATCTATGTATCTATCTATAACCTTCCTTCTTTCTTTCTTTTTCTTCTTTCCTTCATCCCAGTTATTCCTTCCTTTGAACAATTTCTTTCCCTTTCATAATATCTATTGTGCCTTTTGGATTTTATTTACTCTTTCAGGTTCTTACGCTAGGGAGACAATATAATGTTTGCACACGTAGGTCTGATTTAGTTCACTTATGAGTAAGGTCTCAAGTTGCATCCATTTACCTATAAAAGCTTCAAATGTATCTTTCTTATAGCTGAGTAATACTCCGTTGTATAAAAATACCACATCATTTTTATCCATTCCTCAGTTGATGGGCATTTGGGTTGTTTCTAAGATTTAGCTATTACAAACTGTGCTGCTATAAACATGGGTGCACATATATCACTGTGCTATGATGTTTTTAATTCTTCTTGGAAAATACCCAGAAGGGGACTAGCTTAGTGGGACTTCTAATACTAGTTTTGTAAGGAATCTCCACACTGCCTTCCATAGTGGTTTCACCAATCTACACTCCCACTAGCAGTGGAGTAGGGTTTCTTTTACCCCACAGCCTCTCCGGCATTTTTTTTTTTTTTTTTTGGTTGCTTTCTTAATGATAACCACCCTTTCTAGGGTGAGATGGAATGTCAGTGTTGTTTTAATTTGCATTTTTTGAATGAATAATGTTGTTGAACATTTTTTCATATATTTATGTGCCATTAGCATTTGTTCATCCTGGTCAGTAAAATTTAAATTGATTTTGTTGTTAAATTTCTTCTTTCTTCAGGAAGCGCCAGGTTCCTGTCCTTATTAGAAAATCTGGACCTTGCTGAGAACCCAGGTTCCAAAATCCCTTAAGGTTACCATGAGATCTGGCTGGCCTGACTGTTGAATAAAAGCATCTGTATATACTTTGTTCCTTCTCAAATGTGTTTTTCCTCAATCGCATGTACAATTACACTGAGGACAGGGAACTTGGACAAGCATCAGAATAGATTAAGTTTGACCAACACATAAACCTTATAATTTCAGACAGAGTTTCCCTTGCAATGCCTGTTCCTTCCCTCATCTTCTTCACATTCTGAAGCCTTTGCCATAGGATGTGTGAAACTAGATACTAAAAAACCAGGACACAGTTGGTCATGAACACATTTAATCCCACATGGAATTCACACTATTTTAAACAATAGGCAAAAAATTCCCAGTCTAGAAATGTTACTCTACACATTTCACTGATTCAAATATGTGTTTTTAGTTTTCTTGAGATTTTTAATTAAGCATCTGATTTGCCTGACCCAGTTCTATATACATGGGCTTAAAGCTTCCTGTCTGGTAGAATAGTTTCGTTCTGGAGTTTCATTAATCTCAGGGTGTAAATTTTCGATTAGAAACCACAAAGGGAATTTGAATTATTAAGGAAAAAAAAAAAAAAAAAGAATGAACCAACAGAAAAGCTGTACTTTGTCAAGAATGCTTTGAATCAGTTTCTGGACATAGCCTGAACCCTTCCCAGTAGGGGTAATTCCCACTAGTTACTAAGGTGAATAGCAAGTAGTAAAGTAGAGTTCTACGTTTTCCCCTGTTATTTGAGGTTTGCAGTGTTAACTTCCTGAATAAATTCAGTCTGTAGGAGAGAACACTGAAGAATATTATTTATTTAGGACTCACAAGAAAACACAACCCAGGAACTGAGACACACAGTCTTGGATCTGTGCTCTGATAATTTACAAAACGAAAGCCATATTTAAGCTTCAAACCTGAAGGGGGTTACATCAGTGTTTGTCAGGATCTTGGGTGGATGCTGGCAACAGTAAGTTGTGTTTTTCAGTACTGGACAAATCTTCAGCTCCTGGACAGTTTCTCAGAAAGGCAAAGCAATGCTTCAGCTCAGCAGATTTGCAGAAAACAGTTCTAGTAAGTGATGGGACTTTTTCTAACTAAGAAGTTAGCTTTGTCCTGGTACATGTGTACAGGGAACAGGGTCTGAAGGTGCAGTATGGGCCTGTCTGAGATCTGATCTGACTGCATCTCTGCACTCGTTTGAGTGCGCTGCATAAGATGGAGGTCTTCGTCCCAAGACTTCCCTTGGACAGCTGCTTCGTAGGTCTGATGTGTGTCTGCTAAGTGGGGAGGAGTGATTCAGAATGATCCTGAGGAGTGGACTCTTCTACCATCACAATGTCCCCAAGTGACAATCTGACAAAGACAAACAAGGCATATATGCTGGAGGAACTGGCTGTGAGGACTTTTTTTGAGGATTTATATGTGGGTCCTAATAACCCTGTAAGATTATGCTGCTTTTGTGAGGAAGCCTGGAAAATGAAATCACTGATTAATGTCAGAACAAAAGAGGTAGCCGAGTTAGGCTTTTAGCTCAGTCTGACTTCGTATACAGTGCTGTATTTTTGAAACCACAGTCACCTCAGCTGAATTACTCCTTAACTTTATCTTGTTTGGGAGCTAGAGATAACAGCCTTCTACTAAAAGAGTCTACCTCTTCATAGTTAACAGTACCAGATAAAAAAGAAAGAAAAAAAAAGTAACTACAACTACAAGAAGTGGAAGGAAGTAGTGGTGGTAACTTGAAATTCTAAGTTTCTGAAAAACTATCCTAAAATGAACAAGTGGCTAGATGGCTAACAGAGGCTGAGATGTATGTGATTTCCTGACATACAGTGGGTAATTGATTACCCGGTGAACCAGAAATAACTGATTAAAAGATATTGCAAAGTTGGGTTTGGTGGTGCACATCTGTAATCCCAGAATTCAGGAGGCTGAGGCAAGAGGATCTACAGTTTGAGCTCATCCTGTTTTGACACAAAAATACTGTCTCAAAACAGAAAAGAAAGGGGCTATTTCACATTTGCCTGGCACGCTAACATTTAGATTAATTGCTTGTGCTAGTCACCATACAGAGGTTTGAGACTTAACTCTAACCACTAGAGGGTGCTGTAGCCCGCCCAGTGCCTCAGTCAACACTGCTCTCAGCAAACACCAAGCTACTCTGAGTTGTGGAAGCAAGATGGCTTCCGACATCTTGGGTGTGAGTAGAGGACACTTGAAGGGTACATCCGACAGTAAAGAGCTTTGCTATGGTAAATAGAATTTAAATCACTGAATCCTACAAATTGTCGTGTCTAATAGCACCGTTCTTCAAGTTCCCAAAGAAGAGAAATTATAAGCAGAAGCAAGACATGACTCCAGATGATCTACATTTAACTTTCTTTGCCTCCCCAGAAAGTGTGTGAAGCCATGAAAACAGAAAAATTCTGCTTTCATCCGTGATAAAAGGACATTTCTGCTTGAAGTTAACATCTAACATCTAGGAGGTGCTCAATTGATAATCATTATATAACTGAGTAAGAAGGAGGCTTGAACAACTTCTGGTTGGCTCCAGAAGACAAATTTTGGGCTGGTTGGTTCAGGTTAAAGAAAGATTATCTTTGAATCACTGAAAAAGTCCGATATAATTGCTAAGAGACTCTAATTTAGAATACCTGGGCTTGCAACTGGCTATGTCTCTAACTATCCATGTCTCCTAGCAGGAGTCACAGAATTTTTCAAATTTCATTCCTTGGTACTAGTATTGAGTTAGTAATAATTCCTCCAGAGGGTAATAGACTAATCTTATTGCATGGTAAGTGCTCAAAAGTATATTTTTTGCTATTGTTATTTGTCTTGTAGCCCTTTTAGCTCATTGAAAACCAACTGGTTGTTTTTTGGTAAATGAACATCTCTGTGATAAGAATATTACTTCGTCAGATGACAATTCATTGCATTATTGAATTGATGATTTTATGGAAGAGATTCCTCCCCTAAGTGCAAGATTTCACTAAAACTTCCCTACTTCTAATGTTTAAAAATAACTCTAAATTATAAAGAATATTTATAAGATAAAAACAAGAATAGTTGCTGAGGACCAACCTTGTAGACTGAGAAAGATTTTATAGCCCTGGCAAGGAAGAGGAAGGTAAGTTCAGTGCCCATTATTGAGACTGTCTCTGTTAGCAAAGGTAAAGACTGTAATCCTTATTAAATGCAGTAACACAGAACTATGTGATATAGTTACAGGATCAGTAAATTTCTGTACAGTTTCTTGGTTTTTCTCCGGTACCGGGAACCGAACTCACGACCTTGCACTTGCCAGGCAGGCGCTTTTGCCGCTGAGCTAAATCCCCAGCCCCTCTGTACAGTTTCTTTTATTTGTTTCAGACTGTTTGAAATAGGAAGCTATTGGAAGGGACTAAGATATAAAATTTCTGTCCCATTGGAAAAGTAAACTTGTTTGAAAGTAAACACTTTTCTTAAAAAATTATACTTAACTTCCTGAGAAAAGGAGCATGAAAATATTGGCTATTTATTTCCATTTTTCTGCAGCAATTTAGCCCCTAAAAATCCTAGCTTATTCCAACTATATAAAAATAAATTTTATTTGCATAAAAAGCAATTAAATAAAAACAACCAAATTTCTTGCTATTACAATCCCTGAAACTGTCAAAAAATTTTTTTGTTTTCTTTCATTGTTTACACTATAGTCAACTTTCACCTAAAAATAGGGAATATGGAGATAATGAAATAGTGTTTACAAAATAGGAATAGCATACATCTTTTACTTTTAAATAAGTTAAAAACTACTAAAAAGCCAACAAAAATAAAATAAAAATCCTAGTTAGAGACCTTGTCAAAAGCCTCTGGGCTTGAATGGCATACTACTGTAGTCATGGGTCTCCTAGACATCTTAAAATGGAAGCCGTAACTTAAATACCCCAGAGCTAACTGCCTAGGTAAATTTAAAAACTCTAGTCCTAAACAAACATTACTTTCCTTGTTTTTTCATAATTAAGTTTGTTGGAACAATTTAGATATGCATAATGATCACATTCATCACAGAGAATTTGCACCTGTACATAATAAACCTTAGTTTTTCTTGTTCTTATCAGCATGATCGCTAGAAATTAAGCCCATCAGCTATAGCTAAATCAGTTTAAGCAGTTATTTGCTTTTAAAAGGTTTATATGAGAGCTAATCATGAAAAAGTCAAGGACTTTTGTGCTCCTCTGTGCTCTGTAAATTGTGCCCTATGCGGTATAGAACTGACATTTTCCCTATTCCTCAGTTCATGAACTATTCTCTTTGTATTCTCAGTAAACTCAATATTCTGGTGATCTGATTTTACATGGAGAGACAGTAATAGGTAATTCATTCTACTCACTACATGTGCAGTCATTAAGTACTAAAAATAAATAATGATGCTTCTTCGTTTCATTTTATTCTTTGTTGAAGATAGAGAAGGAGTAAGAGAAAATTGAGGTTTAATTGTATCAAGAGGAAGAGTTTCATTATAAATTGAAATGAAAGAGTAGACATGAAGAGAGAACTATGAAAAACCAGAAAAACACACAACTGTGAAAGTGAGGAGAAAATAGAAAAAGTCATGCATATTATGAACAAAACAATGTGAAACGTGGACAGAAGCACCTGAACAGACAGAGAATGAGCAGCAGAATGAAAGATGATTAAAATTGAATGAGATCTGTAGTGAATGTGGCTCTGGACTACTAGCTTTAAAGTAAATTACTACATTATTGACCTGCTCATGTTAAATTTCAGATTCATTAGAGTCCGTTATTTACAGAAAATAATTGCATGCGCTTTTCTTCATAACTTACAACTACATTCTTGAACTTCTTTCACATCCTAGAGATGTTTAAAATCTTCAGAAAAATCACTTCACAGAAATTCACTTTAAAAATGTTTAGAGGTAGATCAGCACAGTTGATAAGGAATAATAAAGAAAATAAGAGCTAACCTGCATGAGCAATTCTACTTATGTGTCAGGCTGTACCACTCACGTGCTGTCTGCCCCACTGATTCCACACAAGAGGACTTGAGATTCTCACTAAGCATAAGAAAAC